AATCTCTCTTCTTGTTTCTTTTCTTATTCTTCTTGTTTATTTTCTTTTTCCTCCAACAACTGTTGTAATCTCTCTTCTTGTTTATTTTCTTTCTCCTCCAACCACTGCTGTAGTCTTTCTTGTTTACTTTGCTGTTCGAGCTGTCATTGGTGTAGGTTTTCTTGTAACTGCTGTTGTCTTTCTTCTTGTTTCTTTTCTTTTTCCTCCAACAACTGCTGTAATCTCTCTTCTTGTTTCTTTTCTCGTTCTTCTTGTTTCTTTTCTTTTTCCTCTAACAACTGTTGTAATTTCTCTTCTCGTTCTTTTTGTTTCTTTTGCTGCTCTTGTATTGCAGCCATCAAGTCTGCTATGCTGTAGTTTGATTTGCCGCTTCTCGTTTCCATTTTTTTTGTCCTACTTTCTGACACCAATTTGTTACGTCTCCGTTTGTTAATTAACTTTCCGTAACTTCGTTCCGACAAAACTTTAGCGACACAAGTTCTTTACTTAATAAAACTGGTTTATTCTTTCCGAATACAACTTTACCGATACACTCAACTTCAACAATCGCGCTAAACAAACGCTATAACAACGAACGTCAATAATACTTCTGACTGCAGTTCAATTACTCGCTGTCTATACACACATTACCTTACCCTTATCTCGCGTTACGTTGTCCCCTCTTATATATACCAAACTACCCTATATCTAGCAAATACCAGAGCATTCGCCAAGATACGGGATAGTTCTAGAAACGTGGCGTCACTGTAGTCATGTGATCTCGCTGACGCAACAATATATTTTCCTGGAATCTAATGAAAATACTCAAAATAAATAACATATAATAGTAATGTCTAGATGACTTGGATGGTCGTTAAATTGTATTTCAATGTTTTCTGACTTCATTCCAAAAAACAAATAAATATAAATTAAAGAAGACAGCGTAACATAAACCTTACTCTGTGTGAATCTGACGAAAAGACCTGTTCCACTGGGCAGCACATGGAGACTAAAAGTCTTCAAAATCGACATTCTGCACATGAACCATGCAATTTCTCACTATTATTGGATTCATGGATCATAGCTCCCCAGCGGAAGAGCTGATCCAGTAACTGTTTTACCTTGGGACTCGACTCCAGATCAGTTGTAAAAGAGGCAAACAACACACCAAAAATACTAATTTGGGATAATTAATTGAATCAACACCAACAAATACAAATTCGAATTCTTATGTTTAACATATTTAGTTACACTGTCATTTGCACAGTATTTTCTCCAAGGATTAGACTAAAACAACCCAAAACATTCCCAATAAATAGTTCGAAATCCAATTCACTGAAAGCAGGACAAAATCTAAAGGTCATCTTTAAGTACTTGTTACAGCCACACTTCCACGGATGACAGCAGGAGAAACTCTACAGGTCATCATTAAGTACTACTTACAATCACACTTTCACGGATAAAAGCTGGAGAAACTCTACAGGTCACCATTAAGTACTTATTACAATCACACTTTCACGGATGACAGCAGGAGAAACTCTACAGGTCACCATTAAGTGCTTATTACAATCACACTTTCACGGATGACAACTGGAGAAACTCTACAGGTCACCATTAAGTACTTATTACAATCACACTTTCACGGATGACAGCAGGAGAAACTCTACAAGTCATCTTTAAGTACTTGTTACAATCATACTTTCACGGATGACAGCAGGAGAAACTCTACAAGTCATCTTTAAGTACTTGTTACAATCATACTTTCACGGATGACAGCAGGAGAAACTCTACAAGTCATCTTATGTACTTGTTACAATCACACTTTCACGGATGACAGCAGGAGAAACTCTACAAGTCATCTTATGTACTTGTTACAATCACACTTTCACGGATGACAGCAGGAGAAACTCTACAAGTCATATTTAAGTACTTGTTACAATCATACTTTCACGGATGAGAGCAGGAGAAACTCTACAGGTCATCTTTATGTACTTGTTACAACCACACTTTCACGGATAAAAGCAGGAAAAACTCTACAGGTCATCGTAAGTACTTGTTACAACCACATTTTTACGGATTACAGCCACACTTTCTCGAAGCTTCCTTCAATGTGTTCAGATAAAAGGTTTGATTTTCCATAATTCAAGGTGAATTAAGTTGAAATTACTTTGCACGTAATGTCACAGCACGCCTGCGTACAAGCGATGTGTTGGATCGATCTCAATGTTCGAACGCATGTTCCTTGGGATACATACACACACACACACTATAGTGGTTCATAATAGGGATCGAACGAAAAGCATCTTAAGCAGTAAAGATTCAGTTCAAACAACACTTTAAAACCTTTGCTACTGACTGCTAAGGCTGTGCACATAATAATGCACAAAAAGCACGTATGTTAGACATAGAAGGAAAAGAAAATCCGCTCAAAACGGCCCGTTTGTAATTATCCTAATAAAGGCCCTGGTATGGCTAGGTGGTTAGGGCACTCGACTCGCAGGTTCAAATACCCGTCCCACTAAACATGCTCGCCCTTTCAGCCGCGGGGGCGTTATAATGTGACAGTCAATCCCACTATTACTTGGTAAAAGAATAGCCCAAGAGCTGGAGATAAGAGGTGATGACTAGCTGCCTTCCCACTAGTATTACACTGCTAAATTACGGACGGCTAGCGCAGATAGCCCTCATGTAGCTTTGCGCGAAATTTAAAACAAACCAAACCTTATTATTATTATCTTGCCAGCCTAAAAAAAAAAACAGCTTGGTATACTGCACCCAAACCTTTTGTAGAATACTAAATACGGTACAGGCCGTAGGGAAAAGTCGTTTTGCTTCTTCTATAATTCGGTACTGCAAAGGTCGTAGGGATATTGAAAAGCCATTTTGTTTTTCTATATTTCACATAAGCTAAAAACATCATAATTCTAGTGTCAACGATGTTTTAATTAACCCTTGAAGTTAGCTTTCTTACAAACATATGGTGTTCATTTAAAAAGCGTAAGTACAGGGTAAAACAGGAAACACCAGCCAATAACAGATGAACATTAGATGACTGTAACATGTAGATACTCAATGCTTTGTGCACAATACAATCGGTGTCTTTAGGGAGCCAACTCCTGTATTATGTACAAAGGAGTAAAAATAAATAAATACATGTAATATTAAATTTTATTATACACTTTCGTATTTTAAGTACAGTAGCACTTAATAGTAGAGATCGACAAGGATTTCAAATAATCCACGCACTGAAAAACCACCCTATCAAATTCCTAAGCGAAAAACCAACTATTCAAAGTATTGGTTGCGATATATTATGTGCATATATATTAATAACACGCTAAAAAGGTCGCTAACATTTCCGGTATAACAATTCAGAAATTTCTAACACAGCAAATTTTTCGTCTACTGCCTACCTACCTGATCACCTGACTAGCATCTCTAGACAGCTTGGACTATCGCTACAAGGTTTCTCCAGCTTACTTGACTGGTCTGTGGGTATCCGCTTGTGATATTTCGATACAAATCCACATATATACAGGTATAACATAAATGGTCAACATATCATACACGTACTGAAATATCTCTTCAATCCAATGGATGGCGATACATATCAGTGGATTCATACGCGACAGTTTCTAAAGCTAAAGTATATACTTTATACAGATATAACAAAAAGTAAACTAACAACTACTTCTTCTTCGTCGGGATTCGGTTCATGTTTTGGACCATGGAAGGCCAGGTTCAGCGTAGAACTCTTCCTCCCTCTATGAAATTGTTATTTTGTTTGCACTGTTACTGAATCCTAGGTACTTTCCCTTGTTACATTGTTGTTTCATTACTCACAGTATGTTATATTTTGTCCATTGCCCACATTTTTAATTAACATACACATTCATGCCTTGTATAATTCTATTAGCTTCACTTATGTATGATCGCACTATTAGTTCGTGTTCACAATACAGTTCCACTTAGCAGTCATATACGCACAGACAAAATCTTATTTTACATACAAAACTCTTTTAAAATAGAGTTACGTTTGCATCTAGGATTCAGTTAGCATAGCGCTGTTTGGCCTGTAAGATTCTTATGTATTATATTTAGAGGAGAGATGTACTTAGAGCTTGGTTCGTCACGTATTAGGTAATCCTCTAGTTTGCTCATCAGTCATTTTTATTCATATTTTTCTTATAATACTGAAGCGTGTTATCTAGGATTATGTCTGATAGAGTTGGCATGTTTGAATAGTTGTGTAGAAATTTTGAATTTGTTGATCATCGGACTCTGTTTGGTTTGGTTAAAATATAGTTTTGTAGTTGCTCTAGTTTGTTGATGTGTGTACTTGATACTTTTATCCATGTTATACAGGCATATTCTACGACTAGTCTTATGTATGTTCTGTAAATGTTTATTATGTTTTCTGGTGAAACTCCTTGTTTGTTGCCAGTCAGGCTCCTAAGGTAACTCGCTCTTTTCCAAATTCTGGTTTGTATGCTTTTTATGTGTGGTATCCAGTTTAATTTTGAGTCAAGTGTAATCCCTAAGAATTTTGCTGATGTTGCTACATGTAAGACAGTCCCGTCTAGATATAACTTGGTATTAATTTGATTGTTTTGTATGGTTTTGTAAATAATATGACTTGTGTTTTGTGCGCATTTAGTTTAATTCTCCACTTATTGCAGTAGAATTCTATTTCATATAGTAGTGGTTGTATGTTGCTGTTGTTGGGTTTGGGGCATTCTTCCAGATTGCAACATCATCTGCGAACTGTGAGCAAAACGTGTGGTTTGGGTCTTTGAGAGGCATATCGCTGACATACATGATAAAAAGTGTAGGGCTAAGTTTGTTTTTTGTTTTTTTAATTTCGCGCAAAGCAACACGAGGGCTATCTGCGCTAGCCGTCCCTAATTTAGCAGTGTAAGACTAGAGGGAAGGCAGCTAGTCATCACTACCCACCGCCAACTCTTGGACTACTCTTTTACCGACGAATAGTGGGATTGACTGTCACATTATAACGCCCCCACGGCTGAAAGGGCGAGCATGTTTGGTGGGACTGGTATTCGAACCCTCGACCCTCAGATTGCGAGTCGAGCGCCCTAACCACCTGGCCATGCCGGGCCTGTTGGGCTAAGTACTCCTCCTTCAGAGACACCCGCCTCCGGAGTGCAACACTCGGAATAGGTACACTCAACATTCACCAAGACAAACAACAGTATTAAAAAATTATGAATTTTAAAATGAAGTAGAGATCCTGCTACAAAAAGTAATGAAACAAGAATTAAAACCATAATCACAAATTTATAAAATTTAATCCCTACTTTGACAGCCTTATACACTTATTGTGGTTTTAATTCTTATAAAAATTATAGCTATCATGGGTATGGTTATACTGAAAGTTTATATGTGTTGTGCCCATTCCATGGCCATAAAAACTGAACAAATAAATAGGGAAAAAATTTAAATTTTAACGGAAAGTAGGAAACGTTGGTTATTCGAAGAAATGCTATAAAAAGTATCCAAAACAAAACAAATGCTGCAATAAAAAAGTACACAAACAAATAAAGTGGTACTAGTTGTATAGATTTTAAAATCTATCCAACTGGTATAACTTTACTTGTTTGTGTGAGGGGGAGGATGATCAGACTAATGGATGTATGTACATTGTTTCAAAATAATGGAGCTTGCGAATGATTTTTTTTTCAGTAATAAAGTACATTGTTTCAAAAGACAATTTCTTCTATAGAGGTGCATCTACTTCCTATAGAAGAAGGATTACTCCTTCCCCCCTAAGCTCCCCTTTCTGATATTTTCATTTTTGTTATTACGCCAATGTTCTTTCAGAATGTGTGGTTCCAGTTGAATCTAGTAAACTTGATGTCGAAAGTAGAGCTGATGATCGTTGTATAATAACGAATTTCAAGCTTTCTTTAAACCATTTTAATCCGTAATACTTATGGATTAATATTTATCCATAATAGTTATGGATAAATAAAGTTTATGTATCTTGAAATATAACACTTGTTAATTGATAATCTTAACAACGATATTTCAATGAAACGACCATGAAAATACAGTCCAAAGAGACGTCAAATGAATACAACACAAACATTTTGCCCTACAACAGGTAACTTCTCACAGTCCTTACATTATCCTGATTCATCTTAAAGTTTTCCAAAATATCAGTAATCTTAATTCAAATGCAAATTTTTTGACGCTCCAGAGAGTAAAGATACATGAGTTTGAAAGTGATATACAATAAATCGTTCAACTGTATCTCAGGTTTTAGCATTTGCTTAGTCTCTTTACAAAGGCGTTCTGAATACACTTACAAGGTAATTTTACTAACTTAAGTATAAACTATTCTTTCCATATAAAACTCAAATCTAATGCAACTCTATAAGTTTCATTACAAGTTATATAATCAAAATATTCATTGAAGTATTACAGAACAGAAAGTATATCTTACCTTGCACATTCATTGGCTTTGCCGAAATGGTTAAAGTAGTCTTTGTAGCAGTGTCTAGTAACATAATATCATTCTTTTAGTATTTTCATGTAATGATGGTCACAAGCAAATTGTAAATAATTTTATCTGGTAACAGAAAGGATGTTTTAAAAGTGGAAGAAAACAATCATGATAAACGTGCATGTTTATAGTGAGGCAAATTATTAACTTGACATGGATAAGTTTTGAACACTAACGAGAACAGAACCGTACTGAACGAAAAACAACAACCTTAGAACGATAAGTACAGTAGTCTGATTAGTTGTTGTAAACTCCAGTAGGAATTCAAGTGTTCGGTTGTTGCTAATCCCAAAGCTACACAATGGGCTATCAGTGCTCTTCTCACCGCCGATATAGAAACCTGGTTTTTAGCATTATAAGCTCTTAGACTTACCGCTGGGCCACCGTGGAGCGGATTGAAGTGAACGTAGTGTATAATATATACACCTGGAAAAAAGTTAAGCACCCCCAAATATTTTTCAGGATTGCTTATTGAAAATAAGGTTTAA